CTCACCTCAGCCTCCCAAAGGCGTGGGATGACAGGCTGAGCCACCGAGCCCGGCTTACTCCGTGGTTCTTGTAACTCATCACAGAGAAGAATTTCAGAGTGAATCCAAGGATAGTTTAAGAAAGAATTTATTAGACAGAAAGAGGCATACCCCACGGGCATGGGCATCTTAAGAGAAAGGACACGCATTTGCCTTTGTCGGAGAAGCTTGATACACTTTTACAGTGATTATTATGCTAACCACGAACTCAGAGGATGGCTTCATTACCGTCTCCCCATCTTTGATAGACTCAGAGTGTGGGCTGCACCGGTAAATCCACATTTTAGCCCCTGGTTGGTCAGGTAAAGGTTTTGCAGGGATAAAAAAACTGTCTGAATGCTTACCCTATTTCAGTGCGAACTGTCACAAGAAACGCATCTGCCTGCACTGAGTAACCTGCCTCTTTATTTTAGGGGGCAGACACCACGGAGGACGGGGATGAGAAGAGCTTGGAGAAGCAGAAGCACAGTGCCACCACCGTGTTTGGAGCAAACACGCCCATTGTTTCTTGCAATTTTGACAGTGAGTGCTTTTTTGTTTATTTACCATGTTGTCCAGGCTGGTCTCGAACCCCTGGGCTCAAGAGATCCTCCCACCTTGGCCTCCCAAAGTGCTGGGATTGTAGGTGTGAGCCACCACACCTGGCCAACAGTGAGTTTTAAACATGATTATGTGAATTCTGTTTCTGTAACTTTTATTCTAAGAACACACTTCAAGTCACCAAATACGAGAAAAGAAAAAAAAAACCCTTCATGCAAACACAACTTGCACATTTATCACTTGATGAAGAAGAGTTTTAAAAATACAATTTAACAGCAGGTATTTAAAAAGCACAGCAATGTTTTTAAAGAAATTTTACTTAGAGTTGTTTTTGCTTTACATAGACATTGCAATGGAAATGCAGAGTTCCCATGTAGCTCCAATCTAGTTTCCTTTCTCATTAATAGATTCCTTCAGTATGTATCATATCTTATTAACATCTAACATTATCTGTCACAGTTAATAAGCAATATTAGGCTGAGGTGAGTGGATCGCCTGAGCCTGCGGGTTCGAGACCCGCCTGGGCAGCGAGACCTCATCTCTACCATAAGTCAAAAAATCAGCCGGGCGTGGTAGTCTCACCATCGTACTCACAGTTCTAAGTAGCCTTTAATTCCGGCTACTTAGAAGGCTGAGGCGGAAGGATCGCCAGAGCCCAGTGGGTCGAGGCTGCGGTGGCCGGGAACGGCCACTGCACTCCAGTCTGGGCGACAGAGTAAGACTCCAACTCAAAAAAAACCAAAAAAACAAACAAGCAATATTGAGACTGGGCACGGTGGCTCACACCTATAATCCCAGCACTTTGGGAGGCTTAGGTGAGGGGATTACCTGAGCTCACAGGTTCAAGACCATCCTGGGCAACTTGGTGAGCCCTCATCTTTATAATAAGTCAAAATAGTGGCGCGTGCCTGTGTTTCCAGCTACTTGGAAGGCTGAGGCGGAAGGATCGCCTGAGCCCAGCAGGTCGAGACAGAGGTGGCCGTGAGTGTGCCACTGCCCTCCAGCCTGGGTGATAGAGTGAGACTCCCACTCAAAAAATAAATAAATAAATAAACAAACAAAATTGATATTCTAAAAAAAAAATACAATTTAAAACTCAATCATATTTAAGCATGGTCAAATCACTGATTTTAACAGATTCTGTCTAACATGTCCTCATTCTGTCTAGTAAGCCCCCAAAATTGTTATTGGAATTAGGAAAAAGTCTCAACATTCAAATAACAGTGGACTTCAGTGATAACCTTCAGGGATTTTGGAATAAGGCAGACCTACTCTATAATAATAATAGCAAATATTTATATAGGTCTTAGCATGTGCCCAAAACTGTGCATATGGTAACTTGTTTAATCCTCATGGCAGCTCTGTAAAATAGGCCTTATAATCATCCCCATTTTCCAGATGAGGGAACCAAAGTACAGGAAGGTTAGGTAATTGACCCAAGGTAAGCACTGGAGACAAGATTTGAACTCGAGTCGTCGGGCTTCTGGAATCTGTATACTGAATCACAGTGCTCTGCTGTGTGTGTGTGAGTGTGTGTGTGTGTGTGTGTGTGTGTGTGTGTGTGTGTGTGTGTAATAATAAAGACAAGACGCATGAAGATTTTGAAATGTCAGACTTTTAGCAGATAACTGTCTCCCAGGTGTGATGCTGAATTATCTAGAAAGCCATCTTTCCATAACTGCTGGAGACCCAGGTCAAGGTCTGTGATGACAGCAGGACTCTAAATCTCCATCATTTGTAAGAGGGGTCATGCTTTCCTTATGGACACGCTTTCATTGAACTTGCCATAGTCTTTTTACAAAAATAGGTTTTATTTTATAGGAAACAGAACTACCTTTGCAGGACACATCACTGTCCTGTTTGCTCTTTACTGGATGGTAGATATTCGGGAACATTCTGGAACATGCGTTAGCTTCAAAGAGTCCATATATAACAGTGTGCAGACTTGTGCTTTTTGTAAATAACTTTCATCCTGTTTTTCAGGAGTGTACATGTACCACCTGCGCTGTTACATCTATCAAGCCAGAAACCTCATGGCTTTAGACAAGGACAGCTTTTCAGGTAAAGGAAAACATCGCTATGCCTGCATGTGATTATACTGTCTTAATTCTTCTTGCCAGGTGGATGTTTTTGTCACCTCTCACAAAAACCTTTGTCATGTTGAGATTATTCTGGTACACTTTGTCACGGGTAGTGACCAGACAGCCGGAGACTGGGATGGTGAAAGAATTTACCCAAATGAAAACAGGATTACTAAGTACACTTGCAAGGGAGACACCGGGCAGGACAGCAATAAGGAAGCTGTCTCCATGGAGTCCCTGGCTTGAGGTGTCTTCACAGAGGAGCTGACCTCCGTTTCTGTTAGGGTTAGGGTTAAGCTTCTCATCATGCATCAGGGTTCCTGACATGCAAATAAGGAACCCTGATGCATGCAGTCTGGGGTTAACTCAAAGATTAAAATGTAGAGTATGGCTTCCACATGCTTAAAGCAATCTGCGTCGTCATTAATAAACAATTACTAAGCCGGGCTTGGTGGCTCAGCCTGTAATCCTGCGCCTTGGGAGGCTGAGGTGAGTGGATTGTCTGAGCCTGCAGGTTCGAGACCCGCCTGGACAGCCTGGCGAGACCTCATCTCTACAATAAATCAAAAAATTAGCTGGGTGTGGTAGCGCGCGCCTGTAGTTCCAGCTACTTGGAAGGCTGAGGCAGAAGGATCGCCGGAGCCCAGCAGGTCGAGGCTGCGGTGGTCGGGAGCAGCCACTACACTCCAGTCTGGGTGACAGAGTGAGACTCCAACTCAAAAACACCTTAGACCTTCACTTACCAATCAATCCAAGGGCCCAGGGATTAAAAACAGGCTGGTGTTTAAATGGCAGTCAGAAACCTCTCTTCTCCATGCTTTATATAATTCAATTAATCAGTGCTTGTTAGTATCAAAAGATTATGCATCTTCTATATATTTCTATCACTCAGCAACAGTTCCCGCAGCACTCAGTAATTGTTTATTTTTTATCTATTTTTTTTTTCCCGAGTTTCCTTCCACCTCAGCCTTCCAAGTAACTGGAACTACAGGCGTGCACCACCATGCCTGACTAATTTTTTGAGTTATTGTAGAGATAGGATCTCGCCAAGTTGCCCAGGCTGGTCTCGAACCCGTGGACTCAGGCAATCCCCTCACCTCGGCCTCCCAAAGTGCTTGGACTACAGGCTTGAGTTCAACCCTAAGTTTTTTTTGTAGCTCTCTCAAGGTGACAGGAAGATGACAAGGCCACCCACTTACCTACAGCCCCAGACTTTGAGCAGTTTGGAGTCCATTTTAACCTCCTCCGTTTCCTGCACCCCAAAATCCCATGAGGCTTTTTGAGCTCTTTCACTGACACCCCTGCTGCTTTTGCTGCCTTTGAGCTGATTCTTAGAGGAAGAGGCAGGGGATGGGGGAACACGCCCACCTAGAGATTTGAGTCCTTGCTGTGAACACAGTTCATGGCCATCCTCGGCTACTTGGGGATCATCTCACTTCAGCACCTGAAGCTCAGCAGAACATCCCCCAGGCCTTCTATGGAAACAACTTTTTTTTTGAGTCGGAATCTCACTCCGTCACCCAGGCTGGAGTGCATGGGCACACTCACGGCCATCCCAACGTCGACCTGCTGGGCTCTGGCAATCCTTCCGCTTCAACCTTCCAAATAGCCAGAACCACAGGCGCAAGCTACCATGCCTGGCTAATTTTTATTATTTTTATTTTTATTTTTTTGATTTATTGTAGAGACGAGGTCTCGTCAAGTGTCCCGGGCTGGTCTCGAACCCGCGGGCTCAGACAATCCATTCGTCTCGGCCTCGCAACGTGCTGGGATGGCAGGTTGAACCACCGAGCCCGGCCAGAAACAACGCTTAAGGCATTGTTGAGGCCACGGCAGTCGCCTTCTAAGCGTTCACTGAAAAGTCACTGTCGTGAGGCAGATGGATTAATAGGAGAAAAGGCATATAAATTCATTTAATGTGGATGTGCGGGAGCTTTCAGAATGAAGACCCAACTTCTTCTCAAGGAATTGCAGAAATGTAATTACCATCTCTAGGTTACAGAAAGAACAGGCGCTTGGTTATAGGAGGCGGAAGGAGCCAGACAAGTGATTGACAGGGGAAAGTGAATGGATACTTGGGAGAATGAACAGATGGGGGAACAGAGACTGACTTGCAAATGGCTCTCTTTTGTAAAGTGGCTGGGCCACGTCTGGTGACATGCTCCCTCCCTCTCCTACAGTAGGTCATGAGATGACCGGGAGGGCAAACGACTGGAGAGAGACACTGGGGGAAGAGGTGGCCGAGATACCTTGAGTCCCTTTTTGGGGAGTATCGGTTTTTGCCCCCCAACAGCATTTTTCTGACGCTCCGTCGTGCTCAACATTTTGGAACATGTTCCAAGTACTAACCGACCTTTGTGAATGGTTTCCTTTCCTTACAAATTTAACCAGATTCAGGGTTATCCCTGATACACGTCTCCAAAATGTCTTTTTTAAAAGATATTTTCAAATACTATTCTCCACCAGGGGGCACTCCATCACTGAAAGACAAAGAGTCCTTTCTAAATTCTTGACTAAAGCTTCATAAAACTCTGAGCACATTCCTTGCAGTTTGGAGATATAAGAGAGAATTCCCTCCACATGACAGCTGCACTGCTAAAAGCCAAGCACCCTTTCGACTTAGGCGAGAGTTTCAGGCTAGACACTAGCTTATCGCCCAGACAGAATAGCCCCCAGGCAACTGCACGAAGGTTTGGTGGCATTTTTTAGCATGGATTAAGGTTTGGTGGCATTTTTTAGCATGGATTACTTCTTAGTACGTAAGATTGCTTTCGCTCCATTTCCAAGTGTAAAACAAAGTTTTCTACTATCACAGACTGTCCACACTCTGAGCGTCTAAGGCTTTCCTGTTACCGGGTACGGGGGGGGGCCAAAAAACCCTGGAATTTACTTATGAAAAATTGTGTAGCTGGGCTCGGTGGCTCAGCCTGTAATCTCAGCGCTTTGGGAGGCCGAGGTGAGTGGATTGCCGGCGCCCGCGGGTTCGAAACCCGCCCGGGCAACTTGGCGAGTCCTCATCTCTACAATAAATAAAAAAAAAAAAAAGAAAGAAAAGAAATTAGCCGGGTGTGGTAGTGCGCACCTATAGTTCCAGCTACTCGGAAGGCTGAGGCGGTAGGATTGCCGGAGCCCAGCAGATCGAGGCTGCGGTGGCCGGGAGCCGCCACTGCACCCCAGTCTGGGTGACAGAGTGAGACTCCAACTCAAAAAAAGAAAAATTGTGAATTTATTCTTACATGTTTAAACTTCGGTCACCTTCGAAGTACTCTTCGTTTGATGCAGTACACCTACAAGCTGCATTTTCTGCTGCTCAAATCCGTTTTTGAACTTGTCCATTTTGACACCTGTTCGTGCTTTACCGTTTCTTGTTTCACCTCTTTCACGTCGGCAAAACGTTTCCCTTGGAGGCTTTTTTCATCCAGCGGAACAAAAAAAAGGTTGCTGGGCCAGGCCTGGTGACATTCTTCCTCCCTCTCCTGCAGTAGATCATGAGATGACAGGGAGGGGAAGCAGCTGGAGAGAGATCTTGGGGGAAGGAGGTGGCAGAGAAGCCTTGAAGCTCCAATGAATAGAAAGAGTGGGGTGTAGGGGGGCAGTCATGCTGTTTTTTGGTCAAAAACTGCTCTTAGGGTCATGTGGGCAGGTACACTCATAAACCACCTATCATGAAATGGGAAATGCATTGATAGAATCTCCAAAAAAAATTCACAGACGACAAATGCACCCTCTCATAACAACGTTAGTTAATCCACAGATGCCGATGGATTCTTAGGACACTTGCCTAGCAAGGGAAGCCTTACTACAAGGGGCTCACCCCAAAAGATGATTCCAGGTTTTTGGGGGTGCCCCTCGGACTCTTTTTTTTTTAAGGCATGTATTTTTGAGACCTGGCTTAATGATTGGATTACCATCAACCTTGGAAACGATGATAATAACTAACATTTATCAAATACTGCCTATAAGACAGGCTCTGTTCTAAGTAGCTTGCATACCCTTTGTCATTTCATCCTCTCTACACTTACAAAGCTGAGATATTACTTTCTTTTTACCCAGACTGGAGTGCAATGGCCGCTCCCGGCCACTGCGGCCTCAACCCGCTGGGCTCCGGCGAGCCTTCCGCCTCAGCCTTCCGAGTAGCCGGAATTACAGGCATGCGCTGCCACACCCGGCTGATTTTTTGATTTATTGTAGAGATGAGGTCTCGTCAAGTTGCCCAGGCGGGTCTTGAACCCGCGGGCTCGGGCAATCCGCTCACCTCGGCCTCCCAACGTACTGAAATTACAGGCTGAGCCACTGAACCCGGCCGAGATATTACTTTCATTGCATGGGGGGGGGGACCCAACATTTGGGAAGATTAAGTCTTTTTCCCCAGAGTCACACAGCAGGAGTGAGGAGAGGGTAGAACCCAGGTGTGTCTGGCTGCAGAGGGCCGTGCCCTCACAAAGAAGGACCCGACTCACCTTGGGGGGGACATAACTCCAAAGAGAGCGTTCTTGGGACACATCAGGGCCCCCCTTCAGGAGCCCCAGCATGCTCTGCTCCCCAGAAACGCTATCTCCACGGGGAGCAAGAGGCACTGCACCCAGGTGGCAGCGGGTGGTCCTGGGGAGCTAGACCTCAGCCAGGGCCCCAGCCTCATTCCCTTTTCCTGTTCCAGACCCGTATGCACACGTCTCCTTCCTCCATCGAAGCAAGACCACCGAGATCATCCACTCGACCCTGAATCCCACGTGGGACCAAACGATTATATTTGATGAAATTGAAATCTACGGGGAACCCCAAGCGGTTCTGCAGAACCCACCCAGGGTGGTCATGGAGCTTTTCGACAATGACCAAGTGGTAGGTGACTTAGGACCCCCGAGGGGGCGTGGGGATGCCGGAGATTTAAAGGGGTGATGGTTGAGGAGTTTAACGACCGCTGGTTTCTCTAGGGCAGAGATGAGTTTTTAGGACGAAGCGTCTTCTCTCCTCTGGTGAAACTAACCTCAGAAATGGACGTCACGCCCAAACTTCTCTGGTACCCAGTAATGAATGGTGGCAAGGCCTGCGGAGATGTCCTTGTAACTGCAGAGCTGATTATGAGGGAAAAGGTACGTTGCCATGTCCTCACTCGAATGTTCTTCCAACTGCTGAAAATACTTGGGAAGAATTCTACACTCTGTTTGCTCAAACGCAAGGGCGGCACTGACGTTGCCGTGTTTGTTTCACAGGATGGCTCCAACCTTCCCATCCTTCCCTCCCAAAGGGCACCGAATCTGTACATGGTCCCCCAGGGGATCCGGCCTGTGGTCCAGCTCACGGCCATCGAGGTAAGCTGCGCTCTAGTTTTATTGATCAAATCAGGTCATCAAAGCGGGACTCTCTTTTGCTGTCTCCAACTTCCTTTAGACCTTGTTCAGAACCTTGAGGTACTCGTGGAAGGAAAAGGCTTGATGAGACCACAAGGAGAGGTCCATTTCCACACGCCCGAGGGAAGCTTAAGTCCTCATGAACTGGGAGCCTGCAGATTTCTGGGTTTTCCGGGTCGACGGGAGAACTGGGAGAGGGAGGAGAGACCAGAAGAGACCGGCTCTTGTGTGTCCTGAAAACCGGGACCTGGCAGGGAGGCCAAGGTGGAAGTGGGAAGGGAGGGACCCGCAGTGGTGACACGTCAGATGACAGATATAAGTGGGTGGTGCTAACCAGGTAGCTTGATGGGCAGGGTCTGGCTTGCTCTCAAGGCTTCCCCCACCCAGTCAAGGCATCTCTTATCCAGCTGTCTTGCTAAGAGTTCTCAAAGAC